GTATTGTTAAAAGCCATTTACATGTCTGCTTTCATGAATTGCCACAGCTTCTTACTTGTCTTCTGTTCAGTTATTTAAAACTGCTGCCTGGTAATTTCATTTGATGGCCAGTCCTTAGTTTTAATGTAATCATTCCCTGTTTATATTCTTTTACAACATTGTTTTCTATTTCTCTATCATGTACTGCCAGTGTCTTCCTTCCCAAGCGGAGCAGCTCTAGTCCATTTGGTCTTTCCTCATACAGAAGTCAGTTTATATCTTTGATCGCCCTGATTACTTTTCTCCATGGTGTTACCTGTTTGGCTGGCCAGATCTGTGTGTGGCATTCAAGGTGAAGGAATACCACCCAAGTGCACAGATATGTCATGCAGTATGATGTATTTTCTGGTTTGTTAATGTTTGTTAATCCTTTCCTAACAGTTCTCAACTCTCTCTTTTTTTTTTTTTTTATTTCTAACCTCCTGTGAGTCCTAGGTGGCTATTTTCAGAGTATTATCCATAATAGTGCTACAAACATAGCAGCTAATTTAGAGAGCTTCATTGCATATAGATTAGCAGCATTATTTATCTGCTAAGTTATCACTCACTGTCTTGATACCATGAGATCCTTCTGCAGCTCTCCACAGACAGGTTTAGATTTGACTATCCTGAATAGTTCCGGAACATCTGCAAACTCATTTCACTATTCATATCCAGCAATACCAGAGGTGCCAGCCTGTTCAGCTCTGACAGTTTGCAGGATCAGGGCAGAAATTAATACCAGTTCCTGTCATTCTTTGGACTTTTTGTTCATTGACTGCATAGAGCAGTTCAGTCAAATGCCGACCATGAAACTGGAGGACATTTTATCTTAAATCTATACAATATTTCATGATGCAGCCACAGAAACAGAAGGATCCCAGTTCACAAAGACGATGCAGGTGTTTTCTTCAAATAGAAAGAGATTTATTAAGATAATGAGAATGACATTGTGGTGTGGGTGTTGTACATCTATTGCAGCATTAAGAGAAACAACAGCAAGTACAAAATCCTGCAGTACTTCTATAGTCTTTATCATCACAGCCTGTTTTGTCCATGCTACAGTTTCGTGTATCGAAAACTTCATTCCCATTTCTAATGGCAGAAAATCCAGACTTTCATCTCTCAAAAAAAAAAGAAAAAGAAAAAGAAAAAAGAACCCAACTGAATTCGATATAAATAACTCGCACAGGACATTTTAAAACTTTCAGATTTAATTACACATAAATAAATATATACAGATTTAGAACAGTTCAGTTTGGCCTGGTTCAAGTTCTGCTGCTTGTGCTTTATTAATTATTATTATTATTATGTGTAGAAAATTGTGTGCTGTTACTTATAGGTCATGGAGTTTTAATTAGTCCTGGGTATAACTTAACTTGCTTGATTCCCCCCTGCTGTGAACATAACAGTCGGGAAAGTTCTCCTTGATCGGCTCCTGCCTTGGGAACGATCCGGGCGTGAGGTTTGTTCTTCCCCTCGTGGTGCTGCTCAGGGCTCCATGGCCCTGGGGAAAATCTGCGGTGAGTCTCAGTTTGTTGAAAACCTGTAAACGAGGTCCTGAAACTGCTTGACATCCAAGGCAGTCCTGGCAATCTTCTCTTGGCCTGGCTTTAGGACTAGGCTGTAGATAGTGAAATAGGGAGGTTTCCTGTGTGTTTGCCTGTCAAAAACAGGTGATGCAACCAGGTACGGCCAGTGATCCAGCTCCCTGCCCCTCTACTGCTTGTGCCTCTAGTTCTTCCGTTGCTGAGGCCTCTGCTCTTTCTTCTCAGTTTTTTCAGTTGGAACAAATTCCTGGAGCACGTCAGGATTTCATTATGGGTTTAAAAAAAAAAAGGCAAAAACAACAAAATAAAATTGCACATAACTTGGCTTCCTGCATCCATGTTTGGGGGAAAAAAAAAAGACAAAACCCAAAAGCCATCAACCTGGCTTCTTTTCTGAACTCTACGTTAGAGTTGTTTTCTTCTTAAATTTGTTAAATCTTTTCTTTTTTTCCCCTCTTTTGTTTGCTTTATGAGTTTCATCCCAAGTTCAAATGTAACAGTTCAGAAAACGGTACACTGGGTCTTCTTTTTTCCCCAGTGCTGATAAGCCTTCCTATCACGTCTGGGGAAAGGTCCTCCACTGGGGAGAAGGAGGGAGAGAGTATGCTATTTCCGATGCTTCACTTCCTTTTCTGATGCTTTGGAGTCTCCACCCGTGTGCCCGTTTCCTGTGCTGTTCATGAACATTTTATCCAGCCCTTTAAGGGACTCCACCAGGTAGTTCTGGAAGGCTGTGAGCGCTGCACAGATAGCTGGGCCCCCAAAGCCGTGGGTTATCAAGCTGAAATGAGTCAAACAGCTCTGGACACCAGGCTCTAAGATGAGTGAGGGGCGGCTGTTCCCCAGTGGTGAGCGGTCCTGGGCTATTAAATCTGCAAACTCTTTACAAATTTGCCTAAAAGAGAAAAGTTTGTATTACTTTAAGTGGTTCTGGAAAGCTGCAGGGATATAGCTTTGTCTGCAGTTTCTTTTCCTGCTCTTTGCTTCCATAACAGAGCTAGCGTGAGTAGCTGCCCCTCCAGGAGTTTTCTATTCCAGCCTGGAAGGCCCCTGCATGCAGACAGAGTGGGAGCTGGTGCAGCTGCTACCACTTCAAAGTGACATGTATGGCAGCGTGGAAATGCTCCACAGGGTTAACTTAATCTCTCCTGTGTATGAGCAACTCCATCCATTCTAATTCTTCACTGTGCTGCATGTGAGACCCTATCTTCCCCGTAGCAGAATAAGCTTCTGGGGCAAAAGCTGCTGTTCCATTATAGGATGCAGGTACCTAATATTCCAGTGCTTTGGTTGCTCATTGCAATCCATACTCACTTAGTAGCCAGCAGCATGTTTTTCCTGGTGTGAAGCTCGGTGGGGTCGGAGTGCTGTCGACACAGGTACTCTGCTGCCGCCTTGGCTGGGAACTCTGTTTCGCACACGTAGCCAAAATCCCGAGCAAGGTGAACAGCTTCACCTACAAGCAGGACAGATTAATAAGCTGTGTGAAAAGGGAATACCTCCTGTAACAACTCCAGACATCTCACTGACATGGCCTGTGTCTGCTGTGACTAGAGCCCTCTTTCCTTTCTCAATTGCCACCCAAGAGCTCTGTTCACCTTTGGATCTAGAGTTGGTGCAGTGACACCACTAAGAGTTTGTTATACTCAGCTGTAAGAGAATTGGCCTTCACAGATCCAAACGAACCATCACCAACCCTAAACTGAAGATGGTTCCTTCCTTTGCTAAGTGTTAAACAATCATGGAGCTGAAGCTGGCTGGACTTAGGTTGGGATGAGGTGTGACTTGCTGTGCTGTTCCTCCAAAAGAAAGAACAGCAGAGATGTTTCTGACTTTGCCACTTCCCTCATGGCATCTTTCTCTCCCCGCTTTCTTCCACAGTCTCCTGCTTGGCTCTCCAAATTAAGAAAGTTGTAGAGTAGCCTCAGAGTTTTAAACAGGGGCTGGAGGGTGAAAAAGCGATCTTAAGCCATGACCGCTAGACAAAAAGGGGATATGAGAAAAGTGTGGAAGGAAGGTATTTATATCCTCCCGCCCTGAGCAGGAAGCCCTCGGGGTGGACACACAAACAGCATATCCATCACGCCGTGGAAATGCCCACTCATTGATGCAATTGATCCATCTTCAGGCATCCCCATGGAAATAATCAGAGCTGATGGCAATTGATCATGCCCAACACCCGAAATCCTGGTTGGGCAGGCAGAGCTAATTTGACTTGCTCCCTGCTGCTCATCTGTATTAGGCCATCCATCCTAATAGCTTTAACCTAGATCCCATCATGGCCTCCCCAGCTCTGAGAGCTGAGTCTGTGAAGCCACATTATGGGCAGAGTGTCTGTGCTTCTCGTATAAAGATTATACTTTTCACTTTATCTCCTCCTCCGAAAAAGGAAAAAAAATAAGTAAAACCTAGAGAATCAGAATTGGAATAGTTAGTTAAAAGCAACCAAAACGTAATGACTGCAGAAAAACAATTATTGTAGCAATAAAAAGGGCTGTATATCCTCATGGTTAAAGTCAGGATTTATTTATTGCAATGAATATGAGTGGCTAAATAGCTGAATGTTTTAAAGGTGCTTTGGGTGCTGGCTTAGAGAGGCATCAGCAGAGTGGCCAAAGCGGTCCAGCTTTTTAACTGGTGTTAAAGCTACTAAGTCATAGCCCAGGGAAGTTGATTCTGTGGGAGGAGCACCCGAGCACCCACAAAGGTGTGCGGGGCAGAGAGGCCCTGTCTCACTGCAGGCATGGAGGGAGGTGAGAGCTTGCTAGCCTGGTCGAACACTAGGCTAGCACTGAGAGCATTCTGAGAGCTTAGGCATGCTTCTGAAATCTCTGAACCCTCTTAATGCTCCCTGAATTGCTCACTACTGCACTATCTCAGTGCTGTTTACAGTCCTTGAGCTTTCGGCAGAGCGCATGCATGGAGGACACCACGCTGAACTCTGTTCCACTCCTCTGCAGTTCTAGCAGGATTCACTTCCTTTTCACTGGAAAATCTTGAGGCCTTTTAAAGATGATCTAAACAGACAACTGTGAGATACAAAAATGACTAATGCTCAGCAGCAAAGAATGATGGATGTGAGTTCAAATTGTGGCAGAGCTCCAGAAACCAGGCAAACAACTTGCTAAGTCCTGGAGACATCCCTCTGATAGAAATTGCATAGCTCCACCTGTCTAATGCGCTTCACTCACACCGGTGCAGGTGATGCCTTTTATTTCTGTGTATCATTCCCAGGCACCCATTCTCCCCCATCTAGAGGAACAGCTGTGGGTCAATGTAAGAAAAAATATATCATCGGCACCCAAAACCCCCCTTTTTTTTTTCTTTAAATGAGCAGACATTGGGAAGGCAGAGAGGAGAAGACAAACTTAAGAGAGCAAATGCCCAAGAAAGTGGGAGGTTGGGACATAGGGTGACAAGCTGGTTTCTATGTGCTGAATGACAAAGCAATAGGACCTTCCTCTGGGTGAAACATCTCCAAGTACCGTAATAGTTATTTGCAGGAGGAAATCATATCCATCCAGCACATATGGCACCACTCTTTTATTTACTATGAGCTGGTAAGCAGTAACCCAAACATCAGCAGCCACCTGAAATCAAAATGTACATTTTTTCCTTCCTTTCTTTCTTTCATTCTTTTCTTTCTTTTCTTTTAATGGAAATCAGCCTTTCATTCAGCATGAACCAACTGCCCTCAGTAACAACCTCCGCCTAATGAAGCGGGTCATTTAATTTGCTGACAACAATGGAGATGATTTTCTATTCAGAACCTCCAGGCAGCTGCCTCCAACATGCTGGGCACAAATACAATGGATTCCAAAGCTAGAAGGGAGTCAGAGCTGTCATTTCATTTGTTTAGGTCCCGTGTCCTTTTCTCCAAAGATGCAGTGGCGACATCATCATTTCCATAGTGCAAAAAGTAGGAGGGAAACAAATAAACAAGCAGCTTTAAGCAGCGGCACTTCATATTTTAAGGGCAGGTCGCACACTGCCTGTGAAGGCTGTGCTGTTTGTAGCACATTTTCCATAGCTGTACTTAGACCTTAATGCCATGCTCAGAGATCAGCTACTACAAACTTGATCTCCACCTTCAAGACCTTAAAGCTATGTAGCATCTCCTCTATGTCTCACTTGTCCCCTGCTTTCCCAGTGGAGATATGAGGCAGCACTTTCGTATGAGACAAGACACAGACCTGAGCGAGGTGCCAGAACCCCAACAAAACAGATCAATGCTGGCCAGGGACAGCATGTTCAGTAGCACATGGGTTTGTAGCCAAAGTGGGCACGCAGTGCTATAAAACAACTGCAAACATATGTTAGATTCTTAACAGCTCTATTAAGACTTTTTGTATTTGGTTTCTGTGAACTGGACTAAATTTTAGTAAACCTAGATCACAGAAGTGAATGGTAAACTTACATATTGCCAAAAGTAAGCTTGCAGCTATGAAGTTCCGTCTTGTTCAGGTTCTGAATGCCTTTTCCAAGACGTACTATGACTAGTCCAGCAGAAATGTCTGAGTTTCAGAGGACAGCCATGTTTATATTAGTGTGGAGGTGTACACTGGGGTATTTCTAATCTCAATTTGAATTAGTGGTGACCGCTGCATAGTTTGTTTTAAGTGTTCTCATTTGTGGAAAGCAACAAATGAACGATACTGAATGGGCAAAGTTTCGGCACTCCCATCTTATGAGGCAGTAAAGAAAGACTCTTACCTTCCACTAGGGATGTCAGCAAGGTGACATTTGCAGCTTTACGCCTTCCTGCAGGTAGATTTAGTCCAATTTTCTCTAACCTTTCCCTTAAACACCGGCCCCCATTTTTTGATTTTGCTCTGAAAGAAAAAAACAAGGAGGAAAAAAATTTGAATTTTTTTTTAGCTTAAGTTTCTGAGTTTTAAGAGAAAGAAGAAAAAGCAGCTAAAATGCTACTCTCCAATATACTATAAACAACTAATTTCTCGTTGTCACCATTAATCTGAGATGCAAGACCTAGTACAGAACATGAAGCTGGCTTTAGAGTTATTCCCCTCTATTTCAAAACACAGTGCGTTCCCGCATCCTTTGGCAATTACAAAGCTTCTAGGAGTGGCGTGCTGCTTACCTCCGGAGGACCCCGCCGAGGAGAGAGGCGTTGAGACACTCAGGGGGAGAAAGCCTTCTCTGCACCTCCCCAACTGTCACCTTGTACTTGGAGGTGGAGCTGAGAAGAGAGAGGCGGCCAGGCACAGAGCAGAAGACCTCGTTGGGATTTGTCACCCCTCCAATCAGACCATCTTTATTCATTGACAGAGTGGAAATGGTGGTGCCATTTGCCTTGGAGGGGATGGGCACTAGGAGAAAAAGAAGGGAGAGAGAACAGGAGACTGTCACAGAGAGACTCCAGAGTCAGGGAAACAGCTTGGTGATTCTCATGGCAACTTCCTAGACCCCCAGCACATGTGCACTGCTGTCAGCAGATGGAAACAGGCCTGGCAGTGAGGTCTGCTAGTTTCATGTTTTCCTCAAGAAAGGAAAAGAGAAGTGGGTCTGATAAAACTAGAAATAAAAAGGGGAAAAAAATGGAAAAAGTCCACGCTCTGCTCTCACCTGCTTACCCATCCTTCCCAGTTGTAGTGGAACTAAACCCAAGGTTTAGGGTTAATTTCCTGGAAAGCTAAGGACCATCCACAGCTTTACTGTCTGGATCTGAAACCAGCTTCCTCAGCCTGTCTCCCCTGAGTATCTTAGTGGTGTGCTGTGTGGTAGGGTGAAGCGCTGGCCTGTCGCACAAAATGCCCACCCGCAAGGCCCAGGCCTGGATGCTCTTTCTCCCTGGGCTTTGGGAAGCCACCTGCATAAAGGGTTGCAGATGTGGTGCATTTCAGACAAGCACAGGTCTGCGTCCCGCTGGACAGGATCAACAGGGCTGAGCCCTTCATGCCCTACGTAAAAAGTGGGTAACACTGGGATGGCCAAGAGCAAATACGCGGCCCACAGGAACCAGTAGAAAGATTTCCTTTGACTTCAGCTTTGGGATTAGCCCCACAGCAAGCCACAACCCTAAACTTTCATCATCTCTGGTTTAAAGGAAGCTTGAGAAGATCAAACCCAATTAATCCAGCACAAACTTCCTTTTAGTTAGTGGACAAAAGTCAGTTAACACAAGAAATCAGGCAGTGGTGAACGTGGCATCCCATCAGGCCCATGGCATCACATCCAGGATGAAGTGGGTACACTTTTCCCATATGTCACTTTAGTAAGAAACATTCTTAGACACGGTAAGGATTTATTGGTTAAAGCTATGGCTGACACTTGTGCCCAATCTCTTTGGCTTTTATAGTCTGAAATTAATAACCAATTTAACTCTAAAAAAAAAAAAAGCAGGTTTTCAAAGAATCCAAAGTGGACTGCAAATTCCATTGCTCCAGCTCATTTCAGCCCTGGCATTCTCTGTGGTTAGCTGGTAATGATTGTTCCATAACGTATATTCAAATAGTTCATACAAGCAATACAGCAACAAATACCAGGGCGAGATGCAGGTTTTATAAAGGAAATACACACGTCCAAAATGAAACAGAAAACCTGAAAATTAATTGGAAAGGGTAAATAGACTGGGCCTATTAATGGGGGCTTACAATCAGCATGTCGTAAATACAGCTCAACAACTTGTTAGTGTGGCAATAAAAAGTAGCACATGTTATATAAAAATGGCTAATGTTTTAAGACTAAAAGATGAATGGAAATGAGCTAAGGTACATTAAGTTCCCTCTCAGCATGAAACTGGGATGAAATCGGGACCGAAGGGCAAGATGCATAGGTTCCCCTGCTAGAGTCAATAATTAAATTATTGGCATTGACCACAATCACCATGTGACCGAGCAAACCAGAGCTATTTCCAGGCAGCAGCAACTTCAGAGCTTTCTTTCATAACCCTAAAACAGGTAATATCTGTCTCTGGGTCACACCCTTAAAATAAGAAGTCAGAGCATGTTTTACAAATATCTGTATATCACTGCAAAGATGTATGTCACTTCAGGTCCAGGTACCACAGCAGATGTGGGTTCTGCTGCAGCAAGTGCCACCACGTAGCCAGACGCAGACACCCCTAGAGAGGAGATGTTGGTTCTTATGTCATATCTTTTGTTAACCGCTGTGGATCCATGTATTTCTGTGAATGCATCTGTCCGTGAAGAGCTCTGCATAATTAATATATATTCACACATTTGTGCAAAAGCCTGGAAATCATGCACTGGTGTGCATTCAAGCCTTCATGCATGGCTGGGGACCTGCATATGTATATGAATGACTGAACAGTCATGCAGGAGAGAGGAGAAGCATGCTTCACCACACGCATCCGTGGCACCTGGGTAAGGAGACAAACCTTTCTGGCACCAACGTCAGCTAACACCAGAACCTACAGAAAAAACTTGCTTGGGCATCAGAAAGATCCAGCACTGGCAAGTGTTTGTGAGTCATTCCACACACAATAGCAGCGTGTTCTGGGAGAGGATGGCCATGTGGAGGTCCAGGACAGTGCAGTGTTGTGGGTGTGGAGTGCATGGGAAGGCACTGATCGATGCTGAAGCAGAGCAATATGATGACATGGAGGCACCACAACACTTAAAACGTGTACTTGCAGTTTTAGGAATGTTCCTACTGTCAGAAACAAAACCCCCTGGAGAACTGTAAACCAGACCCTACCACTCTGAAAGTTAATGCCCAGAATAGTTGGGCTATCTCTTATTATGTGCCACAACCAACCCATGCAGGCATCGTTACCAAGGAACCCATAACAGAAAATGATTATTGGTATTACTCTTCTGCCTTGAGGCCTCAGCTGAGATCAGAGCCCCATCACATTCAGTACCGTGCATACATGGAACAAGACAGCCCCTGTCACGGAGAGCTTGCACCCTCAGGAGCAAAGCATACGAAATGCAAAAGGAGAAACAGAAAGGGTGGCTGGCCCAGCATCACACAGATGTTAGCAGCAGCGCTGGAAACAGACCCCAGGTCTCTTGAGTCCTGTAACAGTGCTTCATCCATTAGACAACGTTGCCTCAATATAACAAGAATAAACATAGCCACATTTGCCATTAATTATTAATTATTGTTATTTGGCCTCACCTGCTGTTTGCCTGGTCTGATCTGCAGCTTGTTTGCCCATAAACATGCTGCAGGAGGGAGACAAGCTACCATTAAAGCCTGACAGCTTTGTTTCCTTGGCTTTTGGGGAACCAAAATTGTCTCTTGTCATCTGAGCAAACCAAAAGTCCCCCTCGATCTTCAGTTGCTGCTTTCCTGTTCCCGCAAGCAGCAGGTGATCGGAGCACCTGAGCCAGCCTGCAGACAAGAAGGAAGCATGAGACTGTTGCAGGTTTGCATGATGCCCAGCAGACAGCACGATGCCCTGGGGCAGGAGCCCACAGATCCCCTGAGTCCTGGTGCTATATGCAGGAGCAGAGGGACATTTCCAAACCGAGACACATGCATGCAGGCAACTGACCCCTCTGAGAAGTGCTACATGGTACTCAGCACAGCATCACGTCAAGATTTTATCTAAGGTACAGTGCAGAAGAATAAACCACTGGAGCAGAGACAGGGTTTTCATGTCAACATTTCTGGGCTCTAGGGTGTTGAAAAGGCAAAACATGAATGGCCTCTCTTATTTCTCCTGGGAGCACTCAGTTCCTCTGTGTGCCAAGCAGAGGCAATGCTAAGTCACACGGCGAAGGCACAAACCTGAACTCCACATGAGCAGTTTCCAGGTGGCGCAGTGTTAAGGCTGGCAATAGAAGTGTTACATCGGTATCACTGTACTGGACACTTTGTTGAGGTTTCCTGGGGTTAGGCTACCTGCCCCTGGCATTGGGGAAGGATGTTACCTTTCCCTCAATAGCCTGCTCTCCACTCCTGGTCTCAACGGGTGGACTGAACACATAGCAGGTGAGATATGCAATACAAGATACTACAAAATAGGGGCTGCACAGAGGCAGCTTGGAGCAGGCTCAGCTCCCTTATGACTGCTGAAGACAGTGTTGTCAGCAGAAATGCACCCCAGAGACTGCTCATTCATATGGTAACAGGCATTGCACACAGACAAGCAAGGAAAGGGTTACATACTCTTCCCTAAAGCACAGCATTGCACAGGTGTTTGGCCTCCTCCCTCCAGGCCCTGCCTGATGAATTGGACAGGGCTCAGCTGGGGTGAACACCCTCCACCCCCAGGAAGGCTATAAAGGGTAGGGCACAGGCTGCCTTTCCCTTTGCATGGCTGCCTTCATGTCAATTTAGTCTGGGGAAGGGGGAGTAGATCTGATTTCATTTGGATACATGTAGGGCCTTGGGTGGCAGATCTTCCAAGGATGTGCTCTGAAACCTCCTGGGAAGTGTGAGCTCTTTTCCTCTTTTTGAGACTCTCTTTGCTATCTGCTCTCATTATTATTTACTAATTCCATGGGAATGGGGTCTTAACAATTTCCATGTGAGATCTGCAAACTGTGATAGTGAATGGAGGGCAAACTGGGGGGGCATGTGGCAGCAGTGGGGGAAAACCTATTTGCAGAAGCTGGGGGCTGTAGATAGACCAGCCAGTGCTGGCCCCCTCTGATCCAGGGGCCTCGTGACAAAGGCACAGCTGAATCTGGAGGGAGTAAGACAGTTAAAATCTGTGGTGTACTGCTAGTAGAGATTTATTTTCAAGCAAGAAATGTTGTGAATGTGGGGGTCTTCTGAGAAAAAGAGCTGCTGAGTTGCCAAATGGGTTCTTGTCTTCTACTATAGTCACTCAAGGATTTGGGGATGTAGGAGAGAACCCAAAACCTTAGGCAGAGTTCCAGGAAGATGAGTTACTGGCGAGACATGCAGACATGTCTATCTGGGGGGAAGAAAAGAAATCTTAGTCTGTTCCCTGAAGCCCTACGGTTATTGCAGATTTGGTTTCTATGCTATGTCCCCAAAACTTTGTTCTTGTCTTTAGCTGCTAGGCTCTCCTGAGAGTTTTTTCCCTGCCTGAAGTACCTCATCACTGAGGGAAAGGATTTTCTTAGTCTGCATTTTGCTTAGTTCCGATTCATCCTGTTATTTTTAATTCAGCAAATCCAAAAAGTCTTGACTGGTGTTGGTGATATGCAGCTACTTACATGCAGGTGAGCTTGGCTGCTTATTTCCAAAACTAAAATCACCATAAAACATTTTGCCCTGGTGAATTTCCAGTCCTGAGGGACGCTATTTCTGGGTTATGAAGCTGCTGATGAGCAACGGGCTGGATGGCTGCAAATAAATACTGCAGGGCTGCACAGCAGAAGTGTAAGAAAGATCCAATTTGAAAGGGAAACCTGTGATTTTGAAATATAGCTGACATGGTCTTTTTCCCTAAGACCTCACAGTGCTTCATGCATTGCTAATCTTTAGCCCAATGCTGATACAAGACTTGCCATTTAAGTCATTAGCTAAGTCTCACTCCTCGTGGGAGCTGGTGTGCACAGCTTGGCGCAATGAGGCACAGAACAAGTTAAATGATTTACCAAAGATCAGGCAAATGGGTGTCATCTGAATACATGTGTTTCTGGTCTGTAGGAATATTTTCACAAGCAACCTAGGTTTTATGATGCTTCCTAAACATTGGACGATAGCTATAAAAAACTGATTAAGTGTGGTCTCTTTTTTTATAACTCCAGGCTTTCTTTGTAAGGCTATGAAATATCAAGGTGTTGGTCACAGTATCATCTTATCTTGTGATAAGCTGTTGTCTTCTGAAGTTAGCTATTTAAAATGACAATGTATCAATATTAGGTGTGTGACCTGCTGAATGTTGAAAAGGAAACTATATCCTTATTTCTTCTGCGTAATGTCACAAGATAGAGTTCTATGATGCTCAGCATCTCACTCCCTCCTTTAATGTTGCGATGGAGGCACCGCTTGCAGTATAATACCCCTCTCG